CAATGCAGGATGTCCTCGAACTGTTGTTGCATCTGGTGAAGCGCCTCCTGCAAACATTCTACAGTATATGACAATCTCAAGAAAGGATTCTGCAACAAGCTCACTCAATACAAGACTTGGTGTCCTCAAGCTGCTTCACCTTGTGTGACAGGGTCTTGTTCTCTGATTGCAGCTGAAGCTGGTGGGCCTGAGAGACTCTTTGAGAAGCCCGTGCTCGTTCATCTATCTGAGACTACAGCTCGAACCCGACTTCAACCCATGAATCACTGGAAGGTCAGCAGTAAATTAATACCGGACCGCACCTCCAACTCTTCATTGTGCTTCCGGAGTTCAGATGCCTCTCATTCGAAGTTCTATCCATGGCACTGCGAGCGTCAAAGCAATTAATGTCGCCAAGATCAAGCAATGAAAGCAAAGAAGACGCCAAAGGCTTAAAGTAAAGGTGACAGGCACGAGAACAACAAATCAATGGCCTCCAACCTAATAGCGATGGCCTCCAACCTAAGGGCAAATCCGGCAGACTTGTGCCTGCTCCGCTGCCTTTTGAGCCTTTGCCATCATTGCACCAACCTGCCCCAGATCCGGTCCGGTCCCATTCGTTCGGTCTCGGCGTATCGGTCAGTGACCTCTTTGGCTTCCTGCTTGAGCTTTTTCAGTTGGTTCTTGGCATTCCGCATGCGCAAACGCCTCGGAAGGAAGGTGGAATCTGTTGGTCGGCCCTTTTGTCTTTCTCTCACTCACAAAGTGTGAACAAGGCGTCTGCTGCTGAGCAAAAATGATGGAATGCCTCAATTGTGACAGTTGAAGGTTCAGTCAAGTGCGTAACAGGAACGGTCTTGCTCACATCATTTATTTGCATGTAGCCCGTGTGGCCATGCGCTGAGTGCGTAGCTTCAAAGCATCGTAGATCTTCTGTTCCCTTTGCTTCCGGACCAAGCTTTGCAACCTGGTCACCAGCAGGCAGTGGCGAGGCCAGGCGCCAGGTAGCCCCGGGTCCCTCACTTGGTGGCACTCACATGTGTCTCGTAATCCTTGGCATAGCGTCGACCAAGGACACCATGCCACACCGCCTGGATCTTGATGACCTCGACACGTCCACTGAACTAAACTTGCCAAACATGATCACAGGATATCACATCGATTGATGCCATTTGATTCGATGATCCTGTTTTCTGCTGGATGACCTTTTGGCGGATGCTCTGGTACTTCGTCTTCGCCTTTGAAGCGGAGCTTTTGTTCCGACCAACTGAGGTTGGATGTCTTGGGGCAACACAATCTTCGATCTGGCATGGGCTTGGATCTTCCTGGCGCTGTCCTCACTCCTGACCAAAAGAGTGCTTTACAAGTTGATTCCGGAACGTTCTGAGTATCACAACTATTCCACCCGCCTTCTCTGAAACAGATCTGCCCGTGCCTGTTGCAACAACTTTTTGGAACCGACAGAAATGTAAAGCAAGGCATTTATATAGACGTGACATAAGTCAAAAGGGACGGGTCTGCACTAGTCACAATGGCCCTTGAAACAATTGTGTGTCAATGTCTGCTCTCATCTCACTAAGTTCAGAGCTTGTTTGGATCGAAGCAACGCTTGGACCTGAGCATCCGCCAATGACTGTTCCAAAATGTGGACCAATAATCACAAATATATGGACCCGAGATGTTCATCTATTTGTTGGGGTACCTCAAGCATCTCAGGTCCAAGCATGGCGTGTGAACAAGCGGATGGCAATGTACCTGGGCATTGGCGATGAATTTCTCCCCCTTTCAACAAGTTGTCATGGGCACCCCCCTCCTTAAGTGCCCTGCATACGCCTGCGAACCTTGCCACGCCAATTGGCCTTCAAACAGCTTGCGGCTTGCGCTCGGCGTATAAGCGGAGCGCTCGGCGAGGCCACCGTTCTAACCCGCACCTGGATCATGGTGGTGCTCTTGATGACCAGTTCAAGGCCTGGAGAGCCCATCACAGAGAGCCACCATTTTCCGGCAGTCAGCTTCAGTCAGCTTCAGTCGGCTTCTAGCTACTAGTAAGATGCCCTTGTTACTAGATGTTACTAGTAGCGTCATCAGTTGGCTAATTGGAGTAAATTGGAGTCTGCTTTCCTTCAGCATGCCGAAACCGCGAGGCGAAGAGTCTTCCTTTTTGCTCGCGGAGGACATGCTGGCGCAAACGCTGGCCACGATGGAGGTTCGCATCGTCTTGAAATCCACATCCGGATGCGCCGAAGCGTCATAGAGCACTAGCACTTGGCAATCTGTGACATGTAGATACCCCAGCCTGAGAGGGAGTGCCAGGAAGGTGACATGGAAACACATTGGTGGAATTAATAAACAGTTGGTCAAGGTGTGGAGGCTTTGAGAACACCTCGTTGAACATCAGCAGCAATCTTTTAATCTCAGCGATTGGACATGAATTTCCACCAAAAAAAAAGGGATTCAATGCAAGCTGAGCCACTCTTGAGTGAGGCCACCCGCAAAGTGGGGCTTTAGGCAGGCCCTGATGTTTTCATACAAATGTCGCACTGCCTTTCGATTGACCGACGACCCGTGCGATGAATGGTAATGGCCCGGACGCTTAGAGACCAAGCTCTCAGCCGCAGCGAAAAAGCCCTTCTCGAAAAGCAAGCAGGGGATGTCGGAGAAGTTCTCGGGAATCACGCTCAAAGCGTTCGAGGTCACCAAAGGGTTCCAAATCTCACGGATCGTTGCAATCAGTTCTTTGACCTCCGCCAGCCGCTCACCCACTCGCAAAGCCCAAAGTGCCTTGAGGTCCAAAGCGATACCAGTGGCTCCACGTGGCAGCTGTAGCTGATGGGTGCAGCTTTGAGCCCAAAGCTCTATGGCCATGTCCAGCTCCTGACCCACCTCACGACTCAAAGACCCAAAATCCTTCAAGGCGAAGACCAGCCGTCCTCGCGTCTCCGACGGCAAGGAATCCAAAGCCGCTCGGGTGGAGCCCCGGACCGACCAGCCCGGCGTGGAGTCCCGCAGGTGCGGCGTGGGGAACTCCTCCAAAAGGGCGATGAAGTCGGCCTTGCGGCGATGGAGCAGGGGACGGAAGAGTTGGACCTCGTGAATCTCGCGCCAGGCCCACATGCCCTCCACATCACCCAAGACATGTCCCTTCATCAAGTGATCCAGGCGATTTTCATCCACGTCATCTTGGTGGTGACCCAGAATCACGGCCTTTCGCCCTTGGTGAGGGGCAAGGAGGCATCGGTACATCCGAAAACGGATCTCCTTGGTCCAGCGTTCATATTTCTCCCTCGTCACCCCAAAGACTCCGTCCCCTGCATCCAGGTGAGGACGGGCAAGGCGCACCTCGTAAACAAAAAGATCAACTCCAAGCTGGTGACAAATCCAGGAAGCCCACTGCTTCTCCGCTTCTACTTCATCCGCCTCACGATTTGGATACGACAAGAGTAAGCAAGAGATGCTTGGGGCATCGGGACAGCACTCACGAAGCGCCCTCAGGAGAAGAAGATGGGCTGTGCTATCAACCCCTCCAGAATAAGAGAGTAACACATGTGCGGATGAATTCAGCAAGCCTTGTCGATCAAGGCTCTGTTGCAGCTCCTGCACCATGAGATGGCTGGCCCAAGCACGCCACCCCACGTGGAGCCAAGACAAGCATCGCGACGCAAAATCATCACCCAAGCACCTTGGAGCCAAACACCGATCAAACATCGGTTTTTGACTGGAGCGAAGTTGTTCTGGGAAGTGCTGGTGAATTGCCTCCTCCACATACGCGCAAGACTGTAAACGCAGAAGTGCCTCAGAATTATACTTCAGAAAAACCTTCACCAAGTCGGTGTCAGACAATGCCTGCAGTTCTTGAAGCAAATTTTGAGCCACTACCACATCTTCCAGCTTTTGGGTATGCCGAAGAACCAGCGTGAAGAAGCAAAACTGCGCGTGTGATGCACCCGTGCTTTCCAAGATGGCCTCACAGGTTTTACACGATCCGAGGATCTGATCTGCCAGCGTTCGCGCAAGGCTGGAGCAGCATCGGATCAGTTCTTCGACCTCGGGTGTTTCTCCGCCGGCACGCTCGTTCCTCGACTGTTGGTCCAAGAACACCGCCAGCCGCAGCTGCTGCTCCATGGTCAGCATCGTCGGTGGTGGTGAATCCCGCAAGAGCTGCTCGGCGGCACGCAGCGGGGCGTTCCTCGAATGGTTTTGGATTTTTGGACGATCAGCGTGTACATCAATGGCAACCAACTCAAAAAAGGATACTATATATATATATATATAATTCCAAATGATCGAACATGAAGCATGCCACCCGCACTACCAACAGAGAATGTATCGCAGTATCGCAGTACCAAGATGCACCAAGCACTAAGTAGCTACAATTACAAAGCCAAGCATATCGAGATACCGCACATCGAGCGAGACGTCTTGCACCCGGCGGTGTCCGGTTGAATCCGGACACAAGGCGAAGTCGGTGAGAGCAGCCGTGTCGACACGGGTTTCCACCACGCCAGGGCTCGCAGGCGCAAGTATGTAATCAAGAAGTTTAGTTGTTGTTCCCTGTTCTGGGGATATGGTGAATTGCTTTAAGAGGCATTTCTAAGGACGGCGACCTCTCAGGGGGTTGAGCCACGTTCACCGAGAATCAGCTTCTGCTGCAAGACCTTGAAGAGTTTTCGATCACGAGGGCGCCGAGCCCCAAACCAGAAGCTTTGGATGCCGTCTGGCTGTTCCAAATCGGGAAACCAAAGCTTGTGGAATTCTTGCACTGCGTCAAGCACCTCATTGAGGCCAATGACCTCCTTGAGGTCTTTGCTTGGCGAAGGATACATGAAGCATCATGAAGCTCTCTGCATGGAGCGCAAGAAGCAGAGCGAACTAAATTGTGGTCATATGTCATGGATCCGGATGCTCAGGGGTCTGAGAATGTCTACAATCTACAGCACATCCAAGGCCCTCCTAATGCAGTGGCTCCCTCCAAATGTAGTGGCCCCTAACATGTTCTGAACTTCCAGTTGTAGTGCCCCCCTTCAAATGCGGAAACTGACAGCAAATCCAGCAGAAATACTCATGTGACATGACTCATGTGGACAGCTGCGGCTGGCAGCTGCGGCTTCAAGCTCCCAGCGACTCCCCAGCAGGTCAAACGCACATCTGGGCACCCGGCGAGCAAACTTGATGCGCTCCTGAGAAATATTAGGCTGGGAAAGGCGCGATTGCGACATGAGATGTTGAGTGTCTCGTTCTACATGGCACAAGACAAAGCGGGAGATGGCCCGCTGAAGCACAAAACGTAGCTCTCCTACGGACGTCTCAATATGATTCCGAGCCGCTTGGGAGAGCAACAAAACATTTGTCTCTCGGGTGGCTCTTCCTCTCTCTGACCGTACAAATTTCAAGCAAAGTACGTATGCTGGAAGCTTGAAGAAAACCAAAGTTTTGCCGACTGCCCAGGATTGCCCATGCCTTGGCAAATCAGCCAAACCAATCAGTGAATGACATTGAATGACCACACCCAAAGGTGTGAAACGTTTGCACAGCCTGTGCCTACTCCCCTCCACATCTGGGCGTGGCGCTTTGGTTTGGGGATGTTCAATTCGGTATCCAAATGATCCAGCAGCTTCTGAGCCTCATTAGGCAGCACAGTCTAACGCCGATCAGGGAGGCTTATAAGGCTCCCCTGTCAAGTTGTCAAGAGTCTCTCAGCTGAAACTGAGAAGCTGGCACGAATCTTTGGATCCTGGTGGGAGGACACCGAAAACCATTGACCAGCAGGCATTCATCAGATAAGGGAAGCCCTATTTTGAGCATTTTTGCCGCAAGGCTCCTGAATGTGCCTGAGTTCGTTCACCACCTTGCTGGCACCAATGACTTTGTAGTCATCCCAACATTCCTGCACACGGTCACCCGAGCCATGGCCACATCGGGGAAAGTCTGTGGTCCCATCCTGATGATTGATGCGTACTGGATAGCCAGCACGACCTGAGGGGTCAGCACGACATGTCACTGTTGACCTGACCCTTCACTGCCTTGCCTCTCCGCTCCCCGCTTCCCTGCGCGCGCGTTACCAGTGACCATCACCAGGATTCGGACTCACTTGCACCACTTGCAAAACACCACCGTAGCGAAGCTGCTCCGTCACCCCCTGAAGCTGTCTGGAATCGTGGTCTGCACTGTTTATGGTCATGTAAGTCCAGCGATGTGAAACCAAACCCCGTCCACAGGCAATAAAACATGCAGACCGAAAACTAAGTTTCCAAGTCCACAGCTCTCGACTTGCCTTGCGATCGAAAAGGTCAGGAACGTTCTGTGGGTTCGGCTTGATGCCTACGACACAGGGTCAAGTCCGATGATAAAAGAATTGATCAAATTATTTGTCACCCTTCCCCGACCATTAAGTTCCACATGAGGGCATGAAATGGCCACCAATGTTCAGCATGCTAAGATAGACGCATCGGATGAAGTGAGGCTCAGTCAAATCAACCACGTCCTCACACATCCATGATGAAACAAAAAGGGGGTAAGGGACCGGCTCAACTGTGCACATCCAACGGCTTCGATAGCTAAGTCTTCAACCATAAGGCTGGAGAGCTGATCTTTGAACTCCGATGAGACCTGAATGCAAACAAATACAGGTATATGATACATATAAACATGTTATTTGCTTGCTTATGTGCATCTATAATCCCCTATAATCATCTATCAGCTATCTATGTATCTATGTATCTACCTACCTACCTACCTACCTAGCTACCTAGCTACCTAGCTACCTAGCTATCTATCTATGTCTGTGTCTGTGTCTGTGTCTGTGTCTGTGTCTGTGTCTGTCTCTGTGTCTGTGTCTGTGTCTGTCTCTGTCTCTGTCTCTGTCTCTGTCTCTGTCTCTGTCTCTGTCTCTGTCTCTGTCTCTGTCTCTGTCTCTGTCTCTGTCCGTCTGTCTGTATGTATGTATGTATGTATGTATCTGTGTGGGGGGGGGGGCTCGGGCTTGTTGATTAATTCAACACTTCCAAATGTATAGAACCAGCAGGGGACAAGGAGTTCACAGTTCTGCTGCTGATACTCGGTGAAACGGGTTGGGACGCTGATCCGTGTACCTGCACTTGCCATCTGCGATGCAGAAACAGTTATATCATCATGTTGTCATCGGTCCCTGTCGGTCCCCATTTCTCAGGTTTGTGGACAGGTTTGAGGTCATCTTGCACTACTCTGGTAATGCAGTACGGGACGCTGCTTTGGAGGGCTAAAGCATTCTGAACTCTTGCGGCATTGGGTTCTTTTGAGCTTGTCCTATGGAGGTGAACACGTGTGTGTGTATGAGCCATTGGACTCATAGGGGGCCTCTGGCTTGCAAGTTTGAAGCCAGGTTCTGACAATGAGGTGGGGTTCATCTTTTGTTCCTGTGCATTTGGTTTCCTTTTACATACGTGTTTGTCCCGTTTCGTCCTCTTTCTTTTCACAAATGCACGGTAGACGAATTCTGCCTCCCCAATCTGGAGGCGTGTGTGTGTGTGTGTGTAACCCTTGGAATCATAGGGATCCTTTCGGATTTTAGCAGGGGGTGCAAGCAGCCCATCCGGTCTTGCACCAACGAAGACACTGGATGTGTGCTGGTGAAGTCAATCCGGGACGCCGGATTGACGTACCTGCTTGAAGAGAAACCTACGTAGAGCACAAGCTGTCTACTTCGTTGTTTCCTTCAGTAAAGGGCTACTGCAGCGGTGATGAACTTGGCTTTTCTGCACGCACGTCGTCACCTTGTCGTCCGCTCGATCGGTATTTCCTGAAACCTTTGGGACCTCCGCCGGATGGACCTCCTCTTCCTTTTTAGGTTTCCTTACCTGTACTCTTAGGAAATGGAACCCTAGGCCGGCGTGTGGCACCGCTGTCAAGTCAGTACGCATATCCATGAGTGCGAACGTATCCACTGCCTGGATACAGAGCAGCTCGCAGCGAGCGTAGGTGGCCTAGGCCGTACGTCCGATGATTTATGTCTCATCTTTGGAATTCCAAGCTGGCTCATGCCTTCACGTGACCGTAGCGGTCAAAGGTGGCAGCCTTCGGGCAAGCCGTACGTGGTCGCAGCGACCAAAGTCTGTTCAAGGTCCATTGGGACCTGTCGGGCACTTAGCCCCCCCTTCTCCCCCTTCCCTTCCCCTTTCTTTCTTTGCTTTCTGGGGTTTTCCTGAATGCAATACTCAGGATCACCCCTCTCTTTCTTGGGTGTGTCCCTGGACGATTGTTCGTAGCTGGGAACACCTTCCTTTCCTCTCCCTTTCTCTCTCTCTCTCTCTCTCTTTCTTTCCTTCTCTCTTTCCTCTCCTCACCCTCCTCCCTGGGTGTCCCTGGATGCTTCGTCATAGCTGGGAGCCCTTCTTTTTGGTGTGTCCCTGGACGCATGTGTCGTAGCTGGGAGCACCTTTGTCTCTTTCTTTCTTTCCCTCTCTTTTCTTCCTCCCCCTGCCCCCTCTTTCCTCGCGCGCGGCGTGTTTACAAGCAAACTAGGCTTCTGCAACAGGTTTTTCTAATGAGGTTTGGTTTGTCATCGGTTTGTCCCCGTTCATTTGGTTCCCCTTTCATCGGCCCCCACAGACCGTTTTTTTCCTCTTTTCTTTCATGTCTTTCTGTCTTCATGTCTCTTCATCCTCATCGTTTCTTTCTCTTGCGCGCACTCTCGTCTGGACCTTAGTTTGTACACATACACGCACGCGTACTTTACTTACCGCAAGGTTCAGGTGGCCCAGGTTCGTTACAATGAGGTTTGGCTCATCGGTTGTCCCTCTTCACTTGGTTCCTTTTCATCGGCAACCACACACACCTTTGTCTGTCTTGTCCTTTTCATTTTCATCTGTCTCTTTTGCGTGCACATGTGCCTACCTCCTTTCCGGGCAGGATGGAGGTCACACATGCCTCCCTTCGGGGAGGCGTGTGTGTGTAACCCTTGGAATCATAGGGATCCTTTCGGATTTTAGCAGGGGGTGCAAGCAGCCCATCCGGTCTTGCACCAACGAAGACACTGGATGTGTGCTGGTGAAATCAATCCGGGACGCCGGATTGACGTACCTGCTTGAAGAGAAACCTACGTAGAGCACAAGCTGTCTACTTCGTTGTTTCCTTCAGTAAAGGGCTACTGCAGCGGTGATGAACTTGGCTTTTCTGCACGCACGTCGTCACCTTGTCGTCCGCTCGATCGGTATTTCCTGAAACCTTTGGGACCTCCGCCGGATGGACCTCCTCTTCCTTTTTAGGTTTCCTTACCTGTACTCTTAGGAAATGGAACCCTAGGCCGGCGTGTGGCACCGCTGTCAAGTCAGTACGCATATCCATGAGTGTGTGTAGCCCTTGGAATCACCATCCGTTTGGAGTTGCTATCGTTTTTTCAGCAGGGGGGCTGGTTGTTCATTGCAAGCACCAGCCCAAGGAAGAGGCTTGCATTGAACACTGATGTCGGTGGGGACGCCCACCGATGTACCTTCACGTACCTACCGGATAACAGATCCTTTCCTTCTGTTGTCCTTTTCTACTCTAATGTGGCGATTCGTCAGTCTAGCCCCGTAGCTATAAACAGGAGGCCTCTCTTGCCTTTCTAGCTACAAAACAGGAGGCGTTATTTCCTTTCTATCTACTTCAAGCGACTCATTTCTCTCGCTCCCTTCCACCTACTTGCAAAAACCTGTAATGCTGGCCTCCTACCCGGTGCCGCGGCCTCCAACTTATGATGACCTCCAACCTTGCTGCTTGATGTGTTTTGAGTGTTTTGAGTTTGTGTTTTGTGAACTAGTAATTGCGCTGGCCTCCAACCTGGCGCGCTGACCTCCAACGTACCAGCAATGTCCTCCAACCTTGTTATTTGATGCTGTTTTCAAGTTGTCTCTTGTAAGCCAGTAGCGCTGGCCCCCTCAACCTGGTGACCTCTAACCTTGTTGCTTGATGTGGCTTTATGTTTGTGCACAAAACCCACTAGTGATGGCCTTCAAACTTGGGCGATGGCCTCCAGCTTTCTAACAATGGCCTCTAACCTACCTTTGCCGTTTTACTCAGGCAATTTTTTTGCCTAGATTGGCGTGTGGCAAACCGCATAAGTGTCCGTATGCCAATGCTCTATCTATAAGTGTGTGCGTGTGTGGAACCCTTGTCACAAGGAATCCGTAGATTTTCCCAGCAGAGGGCCAGCGCATGGCATCACGACGCTGGCCAACGAAGCTAGTGATGTCATGGGAAGCAGTCAGAGACTGTGTACCTGCTGTAGTTGAACTGATGATTGGTTGCTGTGGTCCCTTGGTTTGCTTTATGGTGATTCATGTGCCTGATGTTGTTCCAGGAGGTGTTTAGTATAGGTTTTCAGGTGGGCCTCCAAACATGTAGCGGGGGCCTTCAACCTGACTGCGATGGCCTCCAACTACCAGCGATGGTCCCTAACCTTGGCTGTCTTGCAGTTTCATGTCACCAACCTACTGGTGATGGCCCCTCAACTGGCTTTCAATGGCCTCCAACCTAAGAGCGTTGACCTCCAGCTTTGGCTGTCTTGCAGTTTCATGTCACCAACCCACTAGCGATGGCCCTTCAACCTGCTTTCGATGGCCTCTAACTTAAGAGCGATGGCCTCCAACCTACTCGTGTCCTCGATTTTCTTAGGCGTTTATACCTAGGTCACCGTGGGGTGAGTGGCATTCAATTTCCGTACGCGTAATCTTGAGTGCGTGTGTTTGTGTGTGTGTTTCTTTCTCTTGGCGCTTCCCCGTCAAAAGCTCTTGAGCTCGTGGCTGTGTACTTCTTTTTTTTGGTTTTGGCCTTGTCCTGGACCGGCGCAACTGACAGCTGAAGGTCAGGCAAACCAATATTACTTGACATGGCGCGGGAAGAATACCAACTTGCCGACACGCCGGTCATTTCTGACATACTACAATCACTGGTGAGACAGTGTGAAAAGGAGCTTCGAAATGGAAGCTTGCAAATCTAGCTCGGCAAACAATTGAGGTGCTCTGACCACCAAGTTCCGTCTGTGTACACAGTCGATGTGCTGTTAGATCCTCATCCCTATTGCTCTTTTCGAGCACTTGAGGCCAAATGTGTCCACTCTTGCCGCGCTGGGACGTTGGTCTGTGCTGTACCATCCTTGGGCACATCCAACGTGCTGCCTATAATTTCACGGAGGGCGGCATCATGCCGCCTGGTTGGGAAAGGCAAAAGGTAGTCTGTAACATCAAGGATCTCCGGATGCTCTGTGATCTCCCGTAGAGACGCGCACATCATCACCGGCAAGTTGATTCGATGCAGGGCACGACAGTAAAGGACGGGGTCCAAACAAAGGATCATTTGATAGTGTTTCGGAGCAGCTGAGATCAGCTTTCCATCAACCACACCAGTGTCAAATTCCATGCCTTCAAAGCGACCTTTCCAGTCAATACCAAATTGATTCTTGTTTCCAAGGATCAGCACCTTGGCCGAGTTTTGTTTCATCACCTCCATAAGCTTGAACGCCCTCTTATAATGCATCAGCATTGCATATGGATCCATCAAATACGATTTCGTCACCTTGTTGGCTATGCGATTCACCTGCATTGCAGCTCTCAGGGATAGCCCATCGAAGTGCCTTCGCTTTCTCTATGTCCTAGTCAACCTACTGTATACCTTGAGCCATGTCATATCATTCATGATCATAAATAAAACTGTCATGCGCCTCATTCGACACTCTTCCAATCCTGTGGAATGATGGTGGCATCAAAATTTGCTGTAATCTCCCTGTGTCGGTCCTCCTCCTTGACAAACGCATCTGCAAACTTGGGGTCACGTCTGAAAACGTTGGCTACAAACCTGACAAAGCGGATAGCGGCATGGTTGCACCACAGAACCACAAAACGCTGCTGTGATGCTACAACCCCCCAAATGGGTTCCATGCTGGTTGGAGCTGTTGCCCACACACTCTATCAAATCCTGGCACGACGACTTGTGTCTCAAACTTCTACCAACCTTCTAGAACGACCTGAGTTGCTACTCCTGTAGAGAAGACATGACTCCAAAGCACAATCCATGTTGGATCAAAGTCACAATTCATGTGTTTCCTGCACTCTTTTTTGGACCTCCCTTGCATCGGCGAATCCTGAAACGACTCTCTGTGGAGCCGAATCCAGCTGTTTTTCTTCTCGGTTGCTGCCAAGGTTCCATCATTGGCACGTCCCGTGGCACCATCTCACATGCCTGAAGCATGGGGGGGCTCACAGCATGGACAGCGTGGAAGGAATGCGCAGCTCAACCTTTGCCACTCAAGTCAATTGAAATCTTCCATCACGCTCATCACCAAATCAGGATCCAGGTCATCTAAATCCCCAGGCCCATCCTCCTGCGTTGCCTGACTGGCATCCTCCCCATCTCCACTTGGACTGGCATGTTTTCGATCCACCTCAGGGGACATGGTGGGATCTGAGTCCGGAGAGAGGGAATCAATCGCTGGGCTGGGGGGTGGGAACGCATGCGCCGGACTGGGTGGAGGCAGCGCACCGGGGAGCCGCCGTTTCCGCGTCGTCCCGGGCAGTTGGAACGGGCTGGGCGGGGGAACCGCTGGGAGCGCCTTGCGGGATTTCGCGTCCTCGTCTGGGACGTCGCGTCGCTTACGGGGTGGAATCACCTTGGGGATTTTCTTGGCTTTACGATAACTCTTGCCAAAGCCGGCCGGGACAAAGTCAGCATTGCCGCCAGCCGTGTCTGTAAAGCCTGCCTTGAATTTAGAGGACGAAGATGTCACGGGGCGCCACCGCCGAATTCTGGAAACTATGTGTTCTCGTTCTCGTCTTACACTTGATGGAGGCATGACAAACTTGCCACTCTGTTCGTCCCGTGATGCATGTCGCTCCACCACGTCTTGCCAGTACTTCTCCTCCTCGTCTGGTCCCAGAACCTCTGCGCTCGGTTGATCGCAGCCCAGCAGACGTCCGGTTGCTTTCACATCTTCAAGAAGTGTCACGCAGTCCTCGGGAGACTTTAACCTCAAATAAGCTAGAGATAAGGAGGGCAGGTAGTCGCAATACTCAACTGCCACTGCGTGCTCTGCATAGTGTCGGATGCTTTGCATATTTATCACATGTTCAGCATCCTTCAACCCCGTGATTTTCACCACACATCCTGGTCTCTGAGATGGCTTTGGCTTGCTCTTCGTCTCCGCTTCAGAAGCTTCCGCATCTTTCCGCGGCCTTGTTTTGGGTACCTCTTCTTTGGGCTTTCCCTGGAAACTCGGCCCACGTGAAGCTGCTTGTAGAGTTTTGTACTCTCCTCGGTCGCTGTCGCTAAAATTTAAAACTCCCCACCGAGATCGCTGAAACAAAATCGGCCTTTTCAACCTTGGGGCCCACGACCAACAGCAAGGCTTTAAAAGGGACCGAACCCAATTCACTAGAACCCATTTTCTTGCCATGAAATGTCAGGGTGCGACACTGCTTGTGCCAGTCAGCTTTCCGCATGGCTCTGACTGTTTTGCCATCATAACGCTGGGGCCAAGCCTGCGGCCAAAGGCCGTTACACTTCGCCAGCGCCTTATCTGCCTCCTGGCAGGTCAAAAACCCAAAAGCATTTGGGGGAGCATAGCTGCTTCCCTTACTGTCCTAGAATGGGCAAGGGAACTCATTCAACCCAACTCTGCTCTCTTCCCGCACTCTCCTGGCTCGAGGCGAACTCCACAAAGCAAAAGCCACGCGGCTCTCGCGTTTCTCGATGATGCGGCAGCTCTAGAAGCTTCACCTCAAAACCCAATCCAGCCAGACTGAGGTACTGAAGAGCAACTCGGCAAGAATGTCGACGTTGAGCAATCCAGAGAGAAAGAGAGGGAAAGGGGAAGGAAAGAAAGAAAGAGAAAGAACCCTCATCGACATTGGAACATCCGAGCTTTAGGTAAAACTGTGGCGAGCTTGTGCCTGCCCATACTCCGAGAAGAACGTCGTCAAGTCGTCAATCCCAAATGTCAAAGGCAAGCCTCTCAAACAGCCGCACAGCCTAACAAATGGATGGTAAATGCAGCCTTGCGCAACTCACTTCGCTTTCCTTGGTGGGAGGTTCGGTCTCTTGGTAAAAGCCTGCCTTCGACGTATAAGGTCCTGGAGATGGCATCGTAGGTTCCAAGAGGGTGCTTCTGAAAGTCACGCCTGTCGCTTGAGACCAGTCACAGGACCACAGCTGGGCACCCTGTGCCCAAACAACTCACAGTCATGATCCAAGGTCAGAATAGTGGATGTCATGCTTTGAGTGGCTTGATTGGAGCAACTGCACAGCATTCCCCTCCACTCCGACTCCCTCTCTCAACTGGTTTCACCAGCGCCTCACCCGCGCGCCGGAGCCGTCCAACTCCAAGAGCTGCGACCGTCGCACCGCCTCCGCGAGCTGCTGGGCGCTGGTCACTCCCAAGGCCTCGCGGGACCGACGGTGACTTTTGCGAAAGGCCGTGGCCATCCAAGCGGTTTAAAACACTGGTGTCAGGAGCCCCTAGTAGCGTCCTTGCCCCTAGTAGTATGTCAGCCCCAGTCCGGTCAGAGTGGTCCTGGTCTAAGATGGTGGAGACCTTGGGAGGCCAGCATCAAAGGCGTCTCCGCGAAAGACTGTGGACAACAACCACTTTCATATAACCACTTTCATATGTCCTTTCTACTGGAGATCTTGGGAGATTCGTGTTATGTCGAGATACCGCTCCGTCCGTGTTTGGCGCACAGTGAAGCACCTTGAGGCGGTTAAAGCTCAAGAGCGAGTCCAGAGTGAGAAAGCCACCTTCGGCGTCATCCACCGTCCGCTTCATGTAACGGTCCCGCCGCAAGTTCGCGTCGCTGAAATAGAAATCCTTGGAGAATGAAGGCTTGAGGCCTCGCTAGCTACAACTTTTGGAGGGCCAATGTTCGCCAAGCAGTGTAGTGTAAGAAACCAAAAATTTCCCCAGGATTTGATCCACTCTAAACTTTTGTGTGAAGCTGCCAGCTGTTGCGTAACTTTCTCGAGTGAGAGGCCTTGCTCCTGGCCTCGCACTAAACGACTTCATCAAATCGAGGAAACAGCGGAAAGCTGGGAAAGAACGGTGTCATAGTCATAGAGTCATACCATAAAGTGAAAATTTCAGCTCCTCTGTGTGTGCGCAAAGTCGCTAAACAGAATGAACCTGCTGACAGGCGCCTCTGCTCTCTTTTCCTTTGTCTCGTCTTCGCCGCCGTCTTTGGGGGCCCTCCCTATCTTTTTGATCCTTTTGGCTCCCCTGGGATGCTCCAACATCCTGGCAGGCTCACCGACCCAACACCCTTGAGAAGCTCCGTCCCGTTCGTGCAATTGTGTTTCTCAGAATCTAATGCAAAGGGACGTTGAACCACCTGGCCTTCCCAACACCTCTGCTGGTTCTGCCCCGACGCTTCGCCATGGCAGAATGCAAATCTTCTGTTAGCTCTGGGGGGGTTGTGGTGCTAAACTCGAGTGTGTTGCTTGGCTGTTTGTAGGGCACATCCGCCCCCGGAGCAGCCAATCTAGCTTTGGTAGTCAGAGGTCTACGATAGGCGCCACAAGGAGCTATGGTCAACTACACTTGACTTGTATGACCTTGGAGCTTGTTTCAACTGTTTGCAAGGCTAAGTTAAAGTAAGCTAAAGTATAGCTTGGCCCCGCATGGCACAGCTGCCAGCCTATCCAATGGCTACCCTTCAGCTGCTTCACACAGTTGAAGTTGGCAAATGCTGCAGGAAACTTGCTCAAAAAGGTCCAATGCCCTGCAGTGCAAAGTTTTGACTGCCTCCGCTATGGGAGCACTCGTGGCATCAACCCCACACAAGTGTTGTAGTGCTACAACTACTCACATTCGCAAATGGCAACTTGGTCAGTCTGGCCGTGCTGAGCTGGTCGCGGTTCTTGTCCAGGAAGGAATCGGTGCAGTAGCTGACGGGACCTGCCTGCGACATGACCCTCATATGTGTCAACATAGCCTGCATGCATGCCCCAGAACCCTCAAGAAAGAAACACACATCAAGAGTAACGCTTGAAGGTTGAAGCAGGATGTTAGTCAACATGGTTTGCTCTCCTCAGGCAACCCGCTTCCCAAAAAACATGGCAGAACCACAAAGTGCTTGATCACGAACCTGAGCTGTCTCTGCATGCATAAATAAGCTGAACTTCCAAACCATGCATGGCTGAAAATAAAATTGCAGAATCTAGCTCCCTCGTGCTCAAGCTTGAGATGAAGCGCTGGCCCAGTAGTGCTCTTGGGGAAAGGCATCTTGGGGAGCCAGGGTGTTTAGCTCCCCTCCAATTCCCAATTCTGATCCGTTTAGACGATCCGGTTGGACGACCTTGACACAGCCGCCACCTTTCCTAGCTGCGGGCCACGCGGTGGTGAAAGCAATTCTGTAGATGACTTCGTTCTGTCTTCTTCGTTCTGTCTTCTTCTTCTACTACTTCTTCTTCTACTATATACTATTTCTTCTTCTTCTTCTTCCTCTTCTTCTTCTTCAGACTCTTGCGGATTGGCTCTGAAGCAACTTGTCACTTTGCTTCTTCATCAATCTTCGTGATTCTTGGAAAGGTCCACCGGAGTAAACTTCTCGATCATCTTGAATGAGGTGCAAGTAGCTTGCACACTTTCATTGGTCCATTCAGCTTGTCCCATCTTCTCCTCATTATGCTACTGCAAGCAGGTGCGCAATATCTCCAGCGCTACAGCCCTACAAAGCTGGAAAGGACCTTGGAGGCAAAGGGAAGAGTCTTCCAAAAGAAGAGATGAAAGCCCAGAAAGATCGTGCAATGACATGACACCACTTTAACGACTCGATCATTAAATCACATCATAGATGAGAAACATGCAAACAGGTTGAGATGTATAGACCAGTCCACAAGAACATGTCAAACACTGATAACTGATAGGAGTCCAGCAGGGACAACCTGCCGACATCATCATTGAGCAAACGTTTCCGCAAGCAAAAAGCTTGACTTCAAGCAATCAAAATGAGTTCAACATCCTTCTCAGGCGAGAAATGAAAGTGACAGCCATGGCCAAACAGCACTGTGAGCGTGTCGACGCTCCTTTGAGAAAAAGAACAAGAGAATACTTCCACCATGCTCAGAATCACCAGAACTTCAGTCACGGCCTCAATTTGAAGAGCCGAGCGGCCATGTCGGCTTGGTCTTGATCTCATCGAATCTACGATGGCCTAGCAACCGATGCTGGCCAGCTCAAATGAGGTGCCGCACATCTTCACCGGTTCTCACCTTTGTGTTGCTTGATCAGCTTGTTGCAGTAGCCTGTCCCAGCGGCAGAGAAAAGGAAACACAAGAGAATACCTTTCTTCACGAATGACTGTATCTGGCGCCGTTTTTGGCAGCGCTCCTCTTTTTGTCGCCTTCGCGCTAGCCTTTCCGATTGCGGCGCTCTGGATGGGACAAGCTGATTATATTCCCACTCTGGCCAGCAAGGTAGCTCATTTGCTTCCAGGGCAAGCTCTTTATGAACCATGCTGAGACAACGGCTGTCTGTGTGCTGTATTCAGGGTCAAGCCCGCCCGCTTGAGAACAGCTGGGGCACTTCAAGCTTTTTATTGAAGAAACCAAGGAAGACAAGCTGAACATCGAAGTTTGACAGAGACCAAAGGTACACTGAGCCTTGTGCAATAGACATACAATGTCTACTTATACAGATCCAATTTGTCCATGAGGTGCCAATGAAACCCGAACCGGGCGCCCTCCCTGCAAAAGCCAAAGGCTCAGAATGCAGCATCCAGTGGACGGTTGAAACCTCCACGCCGGTTCATGTACTGCCGGTATTGACCTCAGCCAGCGCCATTTGAGACTCATCAAGTGCTTGCATAGCAACCTAAGATGCTGACGCTTGGTAGCTCGTTTCACATCACTGAGGTCGCTTGTGCCTGAACAGGCATCGTGTGTATCAAAAAGCCGCTCCAACGTTTCTGAAAAATAGAAACGGGCAATGCGTGCTCGTTAGTTTTCAGGAGTGCCATTTCTCGTCTAGGTGTCCAACTGTGATCTTTTGCTTTGGAGCTGTCGAAGGCACTGAAGCCCATCATCTTTGACAACATCTGGTCCTCTGCTCGGGGAGCGGTCGACTCAGCTGGTCAAACCACTTAAATCCTACTGGGCCCCAGTTCTGACTACAGTAACATAGTCGTCAATCCTCAGCCTGGGCGTGGTACCAAACAAATCGTTTATCTGCGATGTGTTGAGGAATGAAACTCCCCCTACACAGCAATGCTGCTGCTCCTCTGGCATGTCAGTGCTGAGGAGGAACTCCTTCATTTCCTGAGCAATAGAAGCACGAAAATGTGATACGGAACCAAAAGATCCCAAATAAACTCGAAGGCGTGCCTCCTCATCATCTGATGATTTGGATTCAGAATCCTCTGATTCGGAACCTCATGAAAATTCTGCCAGCAGTTGCTCTGAGGGGTCATGGTTCTACGGATTCTACAATGCAAATAATGTATCCAAACACTTCGGAACGCTGGACATTTGAGGGGGTGTGGCAGCAAACCAAACCACACACACAAAACCTTGCTTGGCACCCCACGACCGCGCTTTGGCGCTGGTTTCCTCTCGGCTGAGCGCTCCTTACGCCTCTCCTTGCTTCGACCACGGCTGCGCCGGTCCTGCCACAAAGCAAGGTTCGCACACGATGCCAACACGCTTGGAATGAAGAGGGGCTCATGCAGGATCATGCTCATAAAGCTTTGCACCAGCGCCTTTCGTTTGTCATCCTTTCGCCCCTTCTTCTCCTGCGAGCGAGGACAAACCTCCCCACTACTGTAACTAGGCCGATCGTCAAATCCCACCTTCGCCCGGCGATCACTTTCAGATTCGCTGTCGGAAGAATCCCGATTCTTGCGCCCCATGGCACTCCGGACCTCAGTTGAAGCAAAGCACGTCTCTGCCAAAATAGGCACTAACAAATTTCAGGGGTGAAGGGGCATCAAACAAGTCGAACACTCCCATGAGCGCAAACCAGCTTTCATCGAAGCCACTTTACTTCAGAAGAGCAAAACTTCAGAAGACCCTGGTCATGAGCCACCCTGAGCCTGATGTGGCTGCGAGAAACGTCGACACTCGTTTCGCCAGACCAAGGGCAGGAGACGTGAACGCTGCCAAACTTGGAAGCACAAGGAAATCAGCCTGAAATCATCTTCGCAAGTGGACACAGCAATGAATTTTTCCACATCTGCCAAGTCGACTCCACTTATAGTCCAAAGTGTCTCTGTACTCATAAGAGCCACCCGCATAGAATACTGGTGTGGTTGCACTTTTCACTTGCAGTTCACCAGCTGGCGAAGCTTTTTCAAAGCTCCTTCGCAATCGCGCTCTGCCTCTTTCAGCTCCTGCAACTTAGCCTCCAGGAAGCCCTTGCGGGACTGCAGGGCCTCATCTTCAATGAACTCATCGAAGAGTTCCTTGCGCATGCTCTCTTCGAAGTCATGGCGGTAGTCGGTGTGGTCCAAAGCACTCAAAAAGCCCGAGTGGCAGCGTGACAAAACGCACTTGGAGAATTCCGGATTGAAGTAGGCGGAAACGACCGCAATGAAACCCAGGAGGCCATTTTGATGTTGTGGGTCCATGTGGTCCAGCCTGTTTGCAATGGCCTCCCTCCCTTCACTTCCTTTTGCACTTTCTTTTTGAGCACTGCCATCTTGTGTCTCAGCCTCCAAAATCTTCTGTTTCTTCATACTTTCGATGAAAGAGAGTGTGAGCCCTGGCACTTCGGGGTGGAAACCGCAGGATGAGACACATTTCAAGCCTTCCAAGACTCCTGAATGGGCATGAGGGTATTCCTCTGCGAATTCACGTCCAAGGCAGTCCTCCATGCCCTTCTTATAAGCTTCTTGCAAGTGGTTGGTAGAGGCTTGGGCTACTTCCCGCGGAACACCGCAGGCTTGGAGGTGATCTTCAGCCTTCCGAAAAGCACCAACTCGCTGCATGAGACCCCCATGGTCATTGATCAGTCCGTGTAGGCCTTTTGAGCATGCACCAGAAGCTGCTTGTGAAAGCCAAGGCGCAAAGTCTCATAGACCCGATCTTCACCCGCCACAGCGGCCAGGGATTCGATGAAAGGTCGAAACTGCTTCTTCCGGAGCATGTTGCTCCACGCATAGGAAAAACACATCATCTGCATGTGAGAAGTCTTTTGCACAAAGTACAGCGCAATTTCTCGGAGTTTTGCTGCCTTGATTTGCAATACTTTCAAGACCCGAGTAAGTTCATCGTCCAAGAACATGAAGTCAGTGTTCACTGCACCGGCACAGTTGATGCGATCACGATCTTCTGGCTCGGGGTGCATGAATCGCAAGACCATGCGTTCAAAGAACTGCCCCGCCCGATAGCCAGCGGCACCAGCAGTCAGTCGGCTTGCACTCAACGGGGCACTGGTCATGAAAGCCTTGTCTTCCTTGATCTCCTTGTAGAACTCCTCAAAATTGCCAGGGGCATGCTCGTCTGATCTGGTGTAGTCAATGGTGCGTCCTACAGAAGTCTCAAAAGCATTGTGCATTGCATCGGGTGAATATTCGCTCCGCTTTGCTTCAAAGTCAGCTTCTTCCTCCTCCAATGTCTTGGCGTTCTCCTTTAGGGTGTCACTGTGCGACAAGAACAGCTCAGCACCTGCACCTGTCGAAGCTGTGGAAAAGCGCTTCGTGTCTCCCACCAGAGCGGACACAAGCAATGAGCCCTGATACCTGAGCTGCTGAGAGTCACTGTTCCTCAAATCAACCTCAATCTTCTGACTTTGGACCTTCACATCATCTTGATGAAGCTGAATCTCTCGCATCATCACCGTGACTTTTTCCAAATCCATGTCCAACGCATGGTCCTCAACAATCTGCACAACCTTTTTGAAGCCGACCTTTTCATCCCAATACTTCACAAAGGCCTTGTCCTGTTCCAGTTCACCTTTTAACGACTCATCCCAAAATTCTTGCACACTCTTCGCCTCTCTTTCATCTGCTGTCTTGTACTGCAGCGTGCGACTTTCAGGGCTTTCGTCCGCCTGCTTTGGATCGAGTGTGGAGCCAATGAGCATGGGCTCAAAGCCGAACAGCTCATTTTGCCAGGATCGCAAGTGTTCCTGCACCTTCTTTCCTCCACTGATGCCCCGGAACCATTGGTCCGATTTGGTTAAGACCAACCGGAAGCGCTTGTGAAGGTTCACCTGGTGGAGTATGGCACGATGCTTCTTGAGGAGAGTGACCAATTGATCAAGGGTTGGTTCATTGTTGGCGTCTGCCAAGGACAAAACAATGGAATCTGGTTTCTTCAACTCCTCCAAGACCATCTCCACAATGGCATCATTGAAACCTTCGTTGCCATCTTCGTCATTGGAGCGGATGCCAGGCATGTCCATGATGCGCCTAGGAGTCGTGCACTCCTTCGAGAATATAGTGATCAGGAGTTTCTTCTTGCTTGGCTTCCCAATCCTGTTCTTCTCAATGGTCCAATTCTGAAGGTAGGTGCGGGCTGCGCTACCCTCAAACCTTTCCACTTGGCTCTGGCCACCTGTTTCAAGCTCCTCTGCGACCTCAATGACGTCGTCCAAGTGGGGTTCCTGTGGAAGGCAAGTTAGAACTGCCGGCCGCATGGTGCCCATGCCACGCTTGACCTCGCTGTAGGCGTAGCTCAAGTAGCGTTCGATGAATGATGTTTTGCCAGCAGACTGCTGGCCCATGACAACAAGCATGGATGACTGGAAGGCAATGTTGTACCTCTGTTTTACTTTCCAGGCTTCTGCAACAGCTGCGCGTTGCTTGCCGCGGTGCTCAACTGTTCTTGGCTGCAGCTCTTGTTTCTTCTTTGCTGCTGTTTCTGACCTGTGCTTGGCAGCTGCCTTTGCACTGGAATGCCCTCGCTCTGGAGATTGAGCTGCCTGGTTTTTGGTGGGAGGTGCAGGTGGAGCGGGTGCTGAACTGGGGACCCGGAAGCTTGTGCTGACCGTTGACTGCACACTTGGTGGCATAATTGTTGGTGGTGGTGCCTGTTCACCCCGGGTTTTCCAATCTCTCTTCACTTCTTGGAAACCTTTCTCCACGCACTCAGCTGTATGATCAGCCCACATGGGTACTGAGTGTCGGTAACTTACCGTACCAGCCTTGTGACAAATCAGTCTTCAGCCAAAACAGCTATTGTGGCAACACGCTTCGGGGCCTATTGGCCGTGCAACTTTGCAAATTTGCACGACTATTTGCTGAAATTGCTCTACTTGCTTTCAGCACTAGCTTCGCAAGCTCTTCAACAAAGTTCCTACACTAAAGTCCAAGATCTCGTGCTGGTTCTTGGTTCTCTGATTTTGTTTATATATCCAGGTGTGGGTGCTGTGAGCTCCGTTTCAAACCACCCCCATGACCTTGGTCAGAGCCGTTCGGCACGAGGCATTCCTCATCCAGCATCGCCTGAGTTCGGCATGGGGTCGCTTCCTAAAAGAGTCCTTTGGCTGTCCCTGCGAGCAGGACGAACACGCCCGTGCCCTTGCCGGCGAGCAAATCCACAGAGTCCTCCCACTCGGAGTTATTGAAATCCAAAAGATATTGAGCGAATTTTGTCAAGCCTTGTGATGGAGACTTTTCTGCGCTGCTCAGTAGCCTGTCCTGGTTGTCTGGGAAGTCCAGGGCATCCCACGGAATTCCTTCACGCCTGAAAGATTGGAGTCAACTCCTCTAAGGCACATCACAACCACTTCCGCTTTGGCACAGCAAGACTTCTGAGACATCTCTTTGGATTCCAGCTCATAAAGCTGTTCTTCCAATTTGAAGACAAAGGAGTTGAAGAACTGCTGCAGCCTCCACAACTGAGCTGGTCAAACAGTGACACTATGCATGGCGTCAAACAGTACGGTCTCGCTAGCAGCTACTAGCAGAACGTGAACGACGATGCGTCTAGGCAAAGGAAAAAAGAAACACTCACCTTTGGAGGAACTGGGCCCACTAGGCCAACGCACAACCTACTAGAAGCACAGGTTCTTTGTGAGTCTCTGGGGGGGTGAAACACCCCATGAGGCCTTTCATTGGTGAAGTTGATGCACAACCTGAATGGCAAGCTACTGGCCAAGTAAAGATTTACAAGTGTACGTCTCACGTCTGTGGCATCCACTGTTCAAATGAGTTCATCTTGAAGCACTCGAAGCCAAAAATGTCCAGCACTCCTCCAACAAGGGGCATCTGCATCATCCGGGCAGTGGAAATAAACTCCACTGAAGCCCACTCTGTCCTACAAACAATTTCACGTCATCGATGTAACCGATGGAGAGGTTGGTACTGTACACCTGAAGCCAAGGAGGTCGGTATATACGCCCAAAAGAGCCCTTCATTTGTCAAAGTGCCAGGAGAAACTCCCGTGCTAAGGTCTCGTCTATGAAGTTGAAGACAATTCCATACAAAGCTTTAGCCAAGGCATCCCGATTGTCAGCGGCCTTTCACAAACAATCCATGGAACAAACTTGCCACTTAGCAGTCTCTAGGCTAAGAAGACATCCAAACCGCAGGCCTGCCGCACATTCACTGGGCTGCGAATCCTCTCGGAACGGGTCACGCGCGTCTGGTTGCACAGAGCTTTCTCCAGCTCCTGGTGGACGTGCGGATGGCGTCGGATGGCACATGGCTGGGCCAGAACATCGAAGGAGACTTGAAATTGACTTCCCAAAGGCACAAGGTCTCAAAGCTCGACCGCTCCCCACTCTTGATGCCCAGCAATTTCTCCGCCATGGCGACACTGTTGGCGCATTCCTGTCAAGATGCGCATGGGTCACAGGACACCAGTGTCCATCATGAGAGACTGCTCAGCTAGCTCACCGCCATGACCATAGAGCCCTCGCTGTTGTTGGGTGGAGCCTCTCCAATCCATGGCTTCTGGCTCTTTCGTGTTCAAAGTCTCTTTCTCTCTCTCTCTCACACTGCAGTCTTCATCCTGAGCTTGATGCATCGAACTTTGCGTTGCCCAGATTGAGTACTGCTGCGACCATGTGGAACACCTCTGAGTTTCAAACACCGTTGTCCGGCAATTCGGGGGACCAAGTGGTGAGTTGAAATTGGAGATTCATCAAGTCAGGCTAAGTCAGGCGCTTCAGTGAGGTCCTCCTTGTTGATGCCAATGGTCTGCATGGCATTGATCCTCCGCTCGAACATCTCAACGTCGTCCACATCCTGCAAAAGGGCTCTGGCGAGAGGGGGTCCCGTTCATGGCACGCAGCCACAAGCCAGAAACAATCTTTGCCTATGACTATGACTATTACTGACAGTTCACTATGTGAGGCTAAAGGATGAAGAAAAGTTTGCAAGCGGCTGAAAGGGCCCCCACAGTCAACACTTCAGCAGAGCCACACGCACAAGCTGGCAAAACTTTGCCTTTAGGGTCTTGCACGTCGAGCGGGTCAAGAATGCATAGTTGGAGAGCTCTGAGAAGCCTCTCCGCAGTCCGAACCCACAAAGGCTGCTTTGCAAACGTGCTTCAAAACTGGATGCTAGCAGAAATGCTGCAGACTAAGTATGTACAAGTATTTAAGCTTCTCGGAGACATGAAAGGAAATCGGAATCTGTCTCAGGTCCCCGGCCCTCCAAATCAACTACCATCTCTTCCACAGCCTCAACGTGATCTTGTGGCCAGTTCTGAGCATAATCCAATAGATCTCATGTTTTTGGCGAAAGAACCTGGTCCTTGGACAGCACTTGTGGATAAGAGTATTCCTGCGCGCGCGCACCCCCCAAAGACGTCTTCGAAACTCATCACTGGAGAATACTGGATATCGTGCAAACAACGAAGCTGCGGCACACCTTCTGACCGCCAAGCTTTGCTGCGGCAGCACCTGAGAAACTGAACAATGACAAACCCCACAGCTTTCACATCGGACTACCTAACAGCAGGCAGCTGAGGGTTCATCATGCTTCGTAGAAAATGTGATAGTTCCTCTCGCCTTCCTGGTAACGAGTAACTACATGTCTCACAGGTTTGACAAAGCACATGCCTCTCCCTCTCTCTCTCTCTCACTCTCACTCTCTCTCTCTCTCTCTCTCTGACAATGACAACTTGTGATACAACTCCACGCTGTGCCGCTTTCGCCTGCTGCTCGCACACACGGACCTTCTCCAGAAGGTAATGACGAATGCGAGCACCTCGCCAGGGCCGCCAGGGAGTAGTTGCTGTTTTTTTGTGGGCCAATCGGATGGGAAGACCAAACAAGGAAACACACTCGAGGCCAGCACCGCAAAGACGAAGGCTCTCACCAGACATCCCCTGTACAGCCTGGAGGAGGAGGAAGATCCAATCCAGAAGTAATGGTCCACAAATGCAAAACCTTCAAACCAAAACAAACCATTTAAAAACTCCTTAAGCCATGGACCCCTTTGACACCGGAGTCTGTGCCAGGTCGAAACCTCGTTCGGGGCCGCAAGGCGGATGGAAGCTGTCGACAGACATGATGAACAGCCGAGCGCGAGGCTGAAGTTCGATGAACTTGCCGAAGCGACTGGAATTGTCATTCCGCAACGTTCTGGCCTCAAGGGCAGGCATCTGAAGACGTGTGACATTGTCTGGGGGGAAATTCTAACCATAACCACAACAACAGAGGATGGAAATTTATATATTGAGAACTGGAAAACAGTAAGGCCAACGCGTTTCCAAACGCTTCCAGCAAAGGGTTCGACTCAAGCACCTCACTCAATCAAAAGGCCCAGAGACATCAAAATCAGATGCATTCAACACCAAATTAGAATAGTGCCTGCTTCTCCACATTTGTGACCTGAGATCGGCTGTGACAATCTCCGAGCATTTTGCACTTACAATTTACAATCCTCTACCATTTTGAAGGGCGACAATGTCGCTTCGCTATACGTGACATGCTTGATGCGAACAGGCCTGGCCATCAGACGACCCTGCTAGGGCCAAGAACTTCATCACGTGCCTTGTGGTCAATGCGGGCCAGACTGGCTCCACACGAACCATCAAACAATTCACTTGAAGCATCACTGCAAACAAGATTTGCGTCGGGGAGGTTGTGAACAAAGCTGAAGTCTGCGAGGCGCAACTTGCCCCTGAGGCTTCCAGCTTGGTAGTCTCCGTCTTCCCTGCGCCAGACTCACCACTGATGAGCACAGTCCTAGGAGTGAGTGACTCCAGCAGGGGACGAAGAGCATGTTAGCCACTCTCGAATTACTCGAGAATGCCGAAACCTTCTCCCTCCACCACAACTCGACACTGCTATGGCCATTGGATCCAATCTATGACTTATTTAGGCACATGAAATATATATATATATATATATGGCTTATCCCTGAACACATCTGAGACAAGGACTGTGACTTGTGTCGGTCACAAATGCCGCGGTAGGAGGCATTCGAGGTGTTGAACACATGAGGCCTTTGTGACGTGACATGCATCTCACTCGTGGTCATTCTCTCATCTTCCCTCGACTCGGTCCTTCCGTACCCCCACTGCCTCTTGACGCAAACATCAACGGCCCAGTTTTTCTAAGCCATCAGCTTGGTTGAAGGCTTTGTGCTGATGAAGCCACTTAGCACCTAGCCGAAATGCAAACATCTCATCGACTCGTGTGAGAGGACCACCTCCTATCTCACGCCGCAGCTGCTTTACAGGCCTCTTCATCGTAGATGCCAGGAATGGATTTGAAAGGGTTCACTGCCTTACTTAAAGCGGCACTCAGCACGTCAGATCATGTTTGGTGCTTTTAGCACATACCTTTTACTTATATTGTGATCAGAACGTTTCCAAGCCGGCAGCAATCAGAATTGGCCCTGTGAAGGTGTAGATCTCGGTGGTCGCCGTATCATTAAAATACCATCGCGCCAGCAAGCCAAGCAGTTCTGGGTTTTTGCTGGTTGCCTGGTTCCGAAGGCAACCCAAAAAAGCTTAGTAAACTGAAATCAACAAGCGCAATGTGTTCGAAGCTTGCAAGCAAACGGAATTGATGGAAACCGCCAAGCCATGCCGTGCTTAGCATATGGCTGCAGTGAGCTCAGTACTGCGGGTTCGTGAAGGTGCGTTAGCCTCAGCTGAATGTTCAACACTACACTGAAAAAAATATTGAACCCAAACAGGGCGCTCAGTGGCACCATGATGTCCGTTTTGAAACATCTCTTCAGAAAAATGTGGTTCTCTTATTTATTTGTATTCTCTCTCTCTCTCTCTCCCTCTCTCTCGGCAGCGTCTGGCTACAAGGCAGAATAATTGGGCTGTGGCTGTGTCAAATCATCTAGGACAGACAGCCCTTCGGATGTGAATACATCCGACGTCCTGTAACGGAGAGCGACAGAACAAGAACCGATGAGAAATCAAACCACAAAGTCACGACGTGTCCTTAAGAAAATCGGCTCATTTGGGCCCAACACAACTCGACCATTTGGATCATCTGCTGTTTTTACGATGATTTCCTGCGAGCATGTCCCAGACACTGCGTGACATCATCACATTGTGGAGCGCACATACCAATAACGCAAAACACAAATCTGATAAATCCAAGATGTCCAATCATTAGCACTTCCAGCACTTCCACACGTCCTTATCGGTAGAAGTGACGATCTCAGCCTTCCAAACAGGGTCCAACCCTCAAAACACCACCAGGATGTAACCAACGCCTGGATCCAGACTTCTTCATCATGCTTGACCTTGCTTTCGTTTGAGCAATGCAAGTAAAAAGTGCAAGCAAACCACATTCTGTACCCCAACTGGGGTGCCTGCCCAAATCAAAGTTCCTTGAGCATATTGGTTCGACATGAGTGCCGATGCCTGCTTTCAGTCCTGAATCCAAGTTCACCCGCCATCACAGCTTTAAAACGCGAAACGTAAACACACAATTTCACCGCTAAGCACGTCACACTGCCAACTCATGGCTTCACGGCCCGCATCTACGCCTTTCCTCTGCCCAAAGCTGTCGACATCGCCATCGGTTCACTGCCCAAAGCGTCAAGGTTGCCATTTATGCCACATGACACTTGGTAGAAGGAACACACAAACAAAGGAACGGAAACGCAAAAACGTGCATCAGTAACAATACCAGAAAAGGATATGAAAAGCACCCGGAGAAAAATAACGATTTGGAATTTCCTGTGTTTGCATGGGGGTTTGGCCGCTGTATTTTTAACAGCTGGCATTCCAAAGCCTGGCAGGGAACAGGGCTGGCAACAGCTCTATAAAAGCACGTTGTGTGAGAGACATACGAAGCATAAGAAGGCCGATTTTCCAGGATGTTTGCCCAAACAAGATGCACGTGCGTTTGCCAAATGTTGCTTAAAAAGTTAGCTTTGCCACGGCGAGGTGGAGCACACGTTGCATCATAATCTGGCGTGTGTGAATGGGGACCGCGCCGATACATTGCGGTCACGAATTTGTCCGTCTACACTATACTATCCCTTCTCGTCTTCGTTTTGTCTCCTCACTTATGGCTGTTGGTTGTTGGATAGCTTCGAATTGTCACATCAACAAATACATTTCACCGTGAATACACTTTGGCGGAGTCAGCCCTCAGAAGTATTGGGCGTAATGAGCCATCAAAGTATCCAACCGTTCGCGGGAAAGATGCGGGCCATCAACTCCACGGTGTTCCTTCTCAAACTACTTGATAGTTTGTACTTGCTAAACTTTAGGCCAACGCCATTGTGGCGTTGACATCTACGAGTCATGCCACTAACAATCCTTTCAAGAGACTAAAGAGAACCCGCCGCTGGACACTTTGGTGGCTGACTTCGCCGGGTGGCTGACTCCGCCAGCCGCCACAACTCGGAAACTGGGACGGTTGCATTCGGAAACAAAACGGTTGTATTCGGAAACTGGCATTCAGAAACTACGGCGTGGGATTCGGAAACTGATATTCGGAAATTACAAAAAAATTCTTCGGAAACTGGTATTCGGAAACTGGATGGTTGCATCCGGAAATGATTGTTCAGAAACTACGTTTTGTTGGGCAGTGGCAGCCATACATGACCAACCATCAAACAATTGGTTTTGTGAAAAAACGGGAAAAAACAAAACAAAAGCAAATGAAAATGCAAAAGCAGCGCAATTTGCTTTGTTTTTGCATTTGTTTTGTTCTTTTGTTCCTGGTGCCACTTGTGGGCCTATGAGAACTTTTACCCGTCAGCAGAATTTGCTTGCTGTACGCTCTCGGGAAGAAAAA